AGTGGCAAACAGTGATAGGACAAGGGGCAATGGGTACAAACTGGAACACAAGAGGTTCCACTTAAACTTGAGAAGAAACTTCTTCTCAGTGAGGGTGACAACACTGGAACAGGCTGCCCAGGGAGGTTGTGGAGTCTCCTTCTCTGGAGACATTCAAAACCCGCCTGGACACGTTCCTGTGTAACCTTATCTAGGTGTTCCTGCTCCGGCAGGGGGATTGGACTAGATGGTCTTTTGAAGTCCCTTCCAGTCTCTAACATACTGTGATACTGTGATAAGGGGGAAGACAAAGTGAAACGGCGCTTGCATCCGAAAGTACAAGTAGAAAGTGCAAACGTGGTCACTTTTAACCTAGAGGAAGAAGACCCCGAATCGGAATTGGAACCAGACTCAGAAACTCCAACAGAACCTGACTTATACCCTTCCCTTCCTGATCCCAACTCAGACTCAGACGGTTCAGACAGTTCGGCTTGTCGGCAGATGCGAACCAGCCTCAGTGACGGTTGACTGCGACAGCTGCTGAAGAAATTAAAGTATTGGAGACAAAAGAAACCTCCGAACCCTCTGCCCCACCCTCCTACAATCCAGTAGTAAAGAAGGGGGAGTGGGAGGGTGGTGTTGGGCACGGGGTAGGGGATTACGGTAATAACCCTGCTAAAGGCTGACGTAGGATGATCAAAGATGCAATTGTTACAGTGATTGAATGAACTGAAATTTGATCTTAGGACATCTGTTTTATGGATGTTTTCAATCCTTCTTAAAGTGAAGGGAGGATCCTTTTTTACGTTAGACTGTGATGGACTGAGGACTTATGACCCCATATACGACTCATTTATTACATTCTCTCTGTGATACTCATGTACTAAAAGCTGGTAAAAATAAGTATGTCCAGGTTTCTATCGACCTTTGGAGACCTTTATAAATACTGCTGGCTACTTCTTCCAACATAGGCTGGCCACCTGTGTCGGAATGAGTGTGCATTTTGGTCAGTATAAAAGCCCAAGCCTCATGCGATGTGAGGGACCACTTGAATCTGCGGGGACGCCTGCTAAGGCTGAGCCTGCCACCTCGCACTGCAATGATGCTTCTCGGAGCTGGTTTTCTTGTTAGTCTCCACAGGGTCCTTGTGCCACGTTCTGTATGTGGGATTGTGTAGTGGGAGTAATGATTGTCTGGATTTTGTGCTTCAAATATTGTAGTTGTGTGGACTGTGCTTGTGGGATCCCATACGTGTGTGTGTGTGTGTTGAGGGCAGACGGTGTTCTGTGTATTTTTTGTTGTTGGGTTCATGTAAAAGTTTCTAATAGATAGTAGTTTAACATTTCAGACAAGAAAGGGTTAATGCAAAAGTGAGGTTGCTGGCAGAAATTTATGGTTGCTGCTGATTTAGGCAGGCAGCTGTAGCTGCTGCCGGGCAGGCCGGCGTTTGTAGCCGTGCAAAGCAGGGTGAGCGACTTCGGGGAAAAGGAGAAAAAAAAAAAAAAAGTTATTTGATAAGAGTTCAGTCCCCATGCTCAAAAACAGCTGCCCTCCGATTCGGCTCCCGGTGCTCCACCGGTGGAAGGACCAGGATGGACACCAGAGCCAAGGAGAGAAAAAACAAAACAAAATAAAACAAACCCAAGCTTAATATGTTTAAAGTAACCTGGGGATGAATCCAAGACTTGGAGGAACAGATAGATCGGTTGAAACAAGAACTGCTAACTGAAAAAGCGAGAGGGGTAGTGCAACCACAAGCCTTACGAGCCGTCACCTAAGCAGCATCAGGGTGGCAGATACAGAACCTATCTACTTCTCAAGAACTGATAACCTGGAGGAGGGGGTATATTTGTGTCCTCCTGCCTACAGGTCCATGGCGAATGCCTGCAAAGTTTGTCAAGCCTTGCCATGATCTGGACAGACGAATGGAGGAACCTGATGCCTCAGCTGCAGGAGCTGAACGTGAATACCCCAAGCAGAATGAGATAGAGAAAGAGAAAAACCAATGATTGCTAAACATCATTTGGGAGCAACTGAAAAGTAACAGCTTGAATATGTGTGCTTGTACAGTAGCTATTGTTAGATGCTGTGATTTTGTGTATAAAACCACCTGTATTTACTAGCCAGTTACTAATAAGAAACTACACCTTGTATACATTTGTCACTTGTAAAAGAGATGTCAGAGTATGCAAATTTGTAGTAGCTGCTAGAAAATGCTAAGGCAAAAGATAGAAATATTCTAATACAATGATAAATTAAGAGGGGGGAGAATTCCACTGGTAAGAAATTTCTTTGGCTAGTCCCTTGCTGGCATCAGCATCTTCAACATGCTGCTGCACCCTGTAATAGTTACTCTGCTAATGTAAATCTGTGTGTGTGCCTTGCCATGATAACAACTTGTTACTGGATGAAGCAGGTGAAACTGCATTGACAACAAGGTGCAAGGACTGAGGCTGACCAAATGCCTGCTACCACAATCAAGGGCAAGACTGGATTGGCCTCTGTGTTTGCCACCAAGAAGAACCTTTAGCTCCGCTGCTGGCTGCAACCCAGCAGGCGTGGAGCGGTGAGGACACGTGCCATGCCAGACCTTTGGGATGGCTTATATCTGATTCTGTTGTATGGCCCCAAAAAGTAGAATTGCACCTAGAGCCGAGGACGTTGACCGATGTTCAAACCCTAATGAGGGATTTGCAATGGGTCCGTCCTCTTATTGGAATTACTAATGAACAGCTAATGCCTTTACATCCTTTGCTAAAGGGTGCACAAACTGACAAACCAGTAGTCGTTTCTGAAGAACAACGGTCATTTCTCATGCACAGTCAGTGTTTGCTGTGATCTTGCAATGGCAAAAGAAAAACGGAGGAGACATCTTGGCTATTTTGGAATGGTTATTTTTGCCATTGCAAGCTCGCAAGAGCATTCAAACATGCATGGAAGCGGTTGGACAAATCATTAGAAAAGGGAAACACGCATACTATCCATTTCAGGAGAAGAGCCAGCTAGCATTCACATTCCTGTAGCTGTGGAGGACCTCGAGTGGGTAATGGGACATTCCGTTAGCCTGCAGATGGCCTTGCTGCAATATGAAGGGAAAGTCTCGGTGGATTTACCTAACGGAAAAGAAGCCTCATTGCTATTGTCCAATGCATGGATAACACGACCAAAGTTATCCATGAGACCCATTCAGGGAGGGCTAACTGTGTATACAGATGCAGGGAAAAAATCGGCTAGTGCAGTGGTCACATGGTGCCAGGGCAGTCAATGGAAACATCACAAACTTTTGCAAGGTCAGGAGATTCATTACAAACTTTAGAGTTAGCTGCAGTTTTTTGGGCAATACTGTATTGGTTACATGTCCCGCTTAATGTGGTCACTGATTTGTTATATGTGGTGGGTGTAGTACAACAAATCGAAGATGCAATTATTAGAGAAACGCGGAATGAGTGTCTTATGACTCTTTTTCAACAACCTTAACAAGCTATCCGCCAGCGTTCAGCAGAATATTACATCATTCATATTCGGAGCCACAAAAGCCAAGATGGGTTAGCTGAAGGTAACGCAAAAGCTGATAAACTCGGAAGCCATGTTCATCCTATCGTCAGTCAATTTGATGCTGCACGGATGGCACATGCTCCGTTCCATCAAAATGCACGAGGCCTAAGACGACAGTATCGACTAACATGGACTGAAGCCACCGGAATTGTTTGAAGTTGTCCTTAGTGCAGCAATCATGGACCAGGACATGGACTTGCGGTCAACCCTCGGGGTTTGAGGGCTTTGGAGCTGTGGCAAATGGATGTCACTCATGTGTCTGAGTTTGGGCATTTGCGTTATGTACATGTTACGGTAGATACGTATTCTAAGTTTGTATGGGCTACAGCACAACCTGGGGGTTAAGTGGTTGGCTATATAGTTTGATTAAGGCATGCATATATGGATTGATTGCTTTTGTTTTTGTTTTACTATTAATACCTTTCTTACTGCAATGCTTGAAACGCTTACTTAGTAGATCACTTAGCAAAATTTTCCTTGTGTGACAGCAAGCATCCTGGTTTGTGCAAAAGAAAAACGGGGAAATTGTGGAGCAATGGTTATTCTCACGAGGGCTTGCACAACCCAGGATTAGAGCCGAGTGAAACAGCCTTGAACTCTCTCTGGCTCAGCTGAGCCGAGGAGGCCTGGAGTCGAAGAAATGTAAGCAGAACGCTGAAACAGGAGCTTGCTGGCCACAAGGAATGCACTGCTTATCGCAAGGCATGCACCCTGCTGTTGCAGAGATATGTGTGTAAAACTTAGCTTAGCCAATAGCAATGTATAGACAGGCGCGTGGACAGATTTATGTAGCCAATGAAAGATGTACAGCTGTCACGTAAACTATCTCCAATGGTATAAATTAGGTGAGCCTGTGCAATAAACCGAACAAGAAGCGTAACTCATATTGGGATTGTCTTCTTGATTCGGGTCGCTCCTCTGACACAGGTTGGTGCCTCAGTGCCCTTCAACAGAGAGTCATCCATTGCAATTAGTCATAATTTCTTTTTATGGTAACCACTATGCACTGCTGTGGTGCAATTTCTCCTTGTGGTCCTTGCTTGTGGATAGCTAAAACCTTCAAAGCATCATGTCTGTTATTGATCTGGATGTTGGAGGGTGGACACTGAGTTAGAGCCCTGCTTTTCTGGGTCACCAGGGTCCAAGGTGCCTCAGTCTCAGCAGTATCCACTGTAGGTACATGGTTTTGAAGCCATGTATCTATCTTAACAACAGCTGTTGGATAGTACTGCTTGAATTCGAACTTGGTAAATGCTTTTTGTGTGGTTTTCTGATCATTAGCAGCTCAGGTAAGGCCTGGTGTTAATATTTTTCTTGTTCACTTAGTGTTTTGCTCGTAAGAAAACGTGTAGCGGTACTGTGCACTGGCACTGATATATAACATGAGCTGTTTAATGGACTTAGTGATAACCTGGAAAAAAAAATAATTTCCATTGCAATGGTTGCTTGTTGATCTTTCTTTCATAACTAAAATATTTTGCTTTATTCCAGGCTCACATTAAATTTCCTATTGACTATCCATATTCACCACCTGCCTTCAGATTTCTGACCAAAATGTGGCACCCCAACATTTATGAGGTAAGGTGTGTTTTAAACTAATTTTTTTCCTTAGGCATATGAGAAGGCTTTCTGTGTCCTTAAACTTCTAGAAATATTAAAGGTACCTAATGTCTCTAGTCATAACTAAAGTGGTTGGCTGTTTGTATTTAAATGTCAGCTTCATGGTTGCAGAGTTAAATCTAAACATTGTGGGAAATGTTGTTCCTGTAGTCAGGGATGGAGCCTTTTTCATACCTGCAAGTGCAGAAGACATCTACAGCTGAAGCACTGTGCCATGAGCATTGGCAAATTTAGAGACTTCTTCGATCAGGGGTGGTGTGTGGGTTCTTGCCCTACTGTGATATTTAGGCAACGAGTTGTCTGTATGCCTTTCAAGTACATTTTTAATTTAGGTATATCTCACAAAATTCTATAATGAGACAAGAAATGGTGGGAAACGGTCTTCTGCAGCAGTCAGCCTATGACGAAGGGGCTTGGACTTGGGGTGCTCCAACTGCAGAAAGAACTGGAGTCGAGCTTCAGGAGGACTCATGCACAGCCTGGTCACCTTGGGGCCAGAGTGAACAGATACCTTTGGACTAAATGACTGCTAGTCAAATTTAAGTGGCCCTTAGTTCAAGGCATGTTCAAAGTGTAACACTGGGCTACTGGGTCCATCACCGGATCATGGTACAATTACATAGCAGGTTCAGAAGGGGACTGATTTTATATAAATTCTCTTTAGAAAGGAGCATTCCCTACTTTGAAAGCATTGTCTTCATGATACTGACCACAGGCTGCTTGGAAAGATTTAAGGTAAAGTCATCATGGACCAAAGCACTGGGGGAAGTGCTGCAGTGAGGATATGACTAGTACATCTCAGCATGGCATGGTGCTCTGCTGATGGTGCGCCAGCTGTGTTAATGCGGCAGTGCTCAGGCTAGCCCTGCTGTTGCTGGAGCATAGCATATGTTGCCCTAGATCCAGTGTGAATGTACTATCTTGTGCTTCTTGCTTGGCAAGTGACATCTATCAAGTGGCATTTATCAAGTGTCCTTTAAGGTTTATCCTGGAGCCTGGTTGTGTTGAGCTGTTGTGTTAGAGCTGATGCAAGAAGTAGTTTGTGTCATGGTATAAGCACAGTCGGTAACTTAGAACCACACAGCTGCTTGCTCACTTCCCCCCTTCTTCCCTCTCCCCCACTCCTGGACAGATGGGGAGGAGAATCAAAAGAATATAAATCCCAGGGTTTGAGATAAGAACAGTCCAGTAACTAAGGTATCATACAAAATTACTACTTCTGCCACCAATAATAATAATGATAAGGGAAATAACAAGGGGAGAGAATATAAAACTAAAAGGGAAAAAGGTAAAGAAAACAATAAATGCAAATGATGCATAGTACAATTGCTCACCACCCACCGACAGATAGGCAGCCCAACTCGAGCACCAGTCTGGGCCTTCCAGGTAACTCCCCCCAGTTTATATACTGGGCATGATGTGCTGTGGTATGGAATACCCCTTTGGCTAGTTTGGGTCAGGTATCCTGTCTCTGTTCTCTCACAGCTTCTTGTGCCCCTCCTCACTAGCAGAGCATGAGACAGAGAAAGTCCTTGATCGGGGTAAGCATTACTTGGCAACAACTAAAACACTGGTGTGTTATCAGCACTGTTCTCAGACTAAAGTCGAAAACACAGCACTGCACCAGCTACTAAGAAGGAGAAAAACAACTGTTACAGCTGAACCCAGGACAGTATGCACCCCTCATTCCATACCATTCTCATCATGCTCAGATCCCACATTTTTCAACATACCATTGCTTTTTGTACCATATATATATATATATACACACACACAAAGAGACAGATATCATTCCTTAGTCCATGGAACATCCCTATAAAGTTTGCTGAGTTCACTCAGTCCATGATGTCAGGCTCCATCTGATGTAACTGTTTTTCAGGGCAGAAGAGAAGGTGTGTAGTGTTGGATAGTTGCGGGCTGATGACACCGCTAAACTCCTCTGGTCACTGCTGAGCATGTCTCGTTTCATCAAAGTTTGTTCTTTGTTGGGGTGATGATTGGAGGGAAGTCAAGGTCAGTCGATGGTGACCTGATGACAGTACTGGGAGACTCCTGCTGCTGCCACAGGCTTTTCCCATGATTTTATTCTCTGATATGAGCCTGAAGCACATATCTTTTTAAAGCCTAGAGTGGTAGAGATGGGCATCTAGCTGATGGGCTCTTAAATGTTTTATATAGCAGGAAAAATCATATAATTGAGTTTGTTGGCTGTTTTCCCCCAAAATTAAATCTCCTTGAGGTACATGGCAGACTTCCCCATCTTGCCACATTAACCATCAGTTATATCCAGGTCCTTGAGCAAAAGCAATACCACGAGTAAGTTTGTCTTTACTTGAAGCAGGAATAACCCAGACTGTCTTCCCCAGCAAATTCTTTATGTGCACCACACATATCTGCTTGTCCGCATGCTGCTTATTTGATCACTTGAGGAAATTCCCCTGAGTGCAGTGATTGTGGCCAGGAGATGGTTAAAGGACAAACTGGGTAAACTCACAGAAGTTATGAATAAAATCAGAATAGGCTGTAAACATAATCTAACATTAGTAAGGTAAACTCCACCTTAAAATGATATTTAAAAAAAATCTAGATTGCGCAAGCCTGTTGGAGTCCTAAAAAGGAAACTGCCTTGTTGTTGCTAGAAGTTTGCTATAAGTGGATGCTTGGGTATTCAGCAGCTCCATGTGCTGCAATGCTGTTTTTCATTGTGTTCTTGACCCAAAAAAAAAAAAAAAAAAGCTTAAAAACGATGAGAGCTTGCTAAATTAGCATACCTGGCAGGGTTAGTGAGATGCTGAAGTCTGGATACTGATCACAAGCCTCCGGTGTTGAAGCAGGATCTTATTTGGCTATAAAATAAATTCCATTCAGGTGAGCTGTTGCTATTTGTAGTTGTGATCACTGGCTTGGGCTCAAAGGTATGGGTGCTATCACTGTGAGCAGTGCTACTTTGTTTTGGCTCCTGTGAGCAGTGTTGGAGAATCCTCAGGATGTAGATGAGACCAGGTGCATAGGGAACTGACATCCTGTGGTTCTGAACAGAACTGATCTGCAGCTTCTTCTCTGTTCCTGTCATCAGCCTGTACCTTGGATCACAGTGACAAGGGACAGTGTGAGTGCTGCTCATCAGCTGAGGCTGTGCCACCTGAATGTGTGGGGCTGCCTCTGGGAACTTGTTATCCATCCCAGCAGCCAGCTGCAAGACACAGCAAGCCAGTAGGGCCTGGAGAAGCCAACATCTGCTGGCCAGCCTCAGGCTCCATCTGCACCCTTTACCCTATCCTGCAGTAAGGCGTTGGGACCCCATGAGCCCCTGGAGTTAACTTTAGCGGAAAATATCAGCTGTGGTAAATACTGCTGCTTCGCTCCTACAAAGTAGTCATATCAGAATGCTGTTGCTGATGGAAATTGGTTTTACCAGCTTCTTAGTGTTTATAAATGGTAGGCATCATGGAGCTTTAAATTAAGGCTATAACACTGGTAAGTAGAACAGAGATCGAGGATTATGTGGTTTTATGGTTTCCATATGCTGTCAAAATATTCTTCGTCTTGCAGTGCTGGAAGGGATTTTGAGTGAAACCTTCAAAAAGGGCATCTCTTGCCTTTTCACCTCATATTTCAAATGGCTGTGTCCTAGGGGAGCAGCGTAAGCCTGCCCTGCACCATCTGTTCAACCTCCTTGTGTCCTGGGAGAAACATTGTTTTTATATCTGAACTAGTAGAGTGCTAAGCCCTTCAATTAAAAAAATCCTGTAGCTAACTCAGCTATCACTGGGAACAAAAATTTTTAAACCTACTTTGGGTCTCTTGTGACTAAAGCTCACTTCTATCACTGTGACAGTACATGTTATCTGGAGACTAATTTTGTTTTACATTATTTATGCTTTTGCTTGCTTTGCTACATTCTTTAAACCTCTTGACTTGAGATGATTAATCTGCAAATTGGTACAAAATACTGTTTAGCAAGGGAGACCTTTCAACATATAAATACAGTAGACCCAAGAAGAATTGAGAAATGTTTCCAGTTATTGCATATATTTTTACTGGTACTTGAGGTGTCCATATCAACAAGGTTAAACTTCTCAGAACGTAGTGTTGGAGTTATAGAATCATAGAATCATTAGGGTTGGAAAGGACCTTAAGATCATCCAGTTCCAACCCCCCTGCCATGGGCAGGGACACTTCACACTAAACCATATCACCCAACGCCTCGTCCAACCTGGCCTTGAACACTGCCAAGGATGGAGCATTCACCACTTTTTCAGGCAACCTATGCCAGTGCCTCACCACCCTCACAGTAAAGAACTTCTTCCTTATATCTAACCTGTGCTTCCCCTGTTTAAGTTGAAACCTATTACCCCTTGTCCTATTGCTACTGTCCCAGGTGAAGAGTCCCTCTCTAGCATCCTTGTAGACCCCCTTCAGATATTGGAAGGCTGCTATGAGATGTTAGACCTTTTCCTCAAGCCAGGCTACTTTCAGACTTTGTTTCTGTCTTGCAGAATGGAGATGTATGTATTTCAATTCTTCACCCACCTGTAGATGACCCACAAAGTGGAGAGCTGCCATCCGAGAGGTGGAACCCTACCCAAAATGTCAGGTAATAGTGTGAACCTGTGATGTACAGCAGTGATCTCAAAGACTTGTTATCTCTAAGACTAAGGCCTGTGTTGGGAAAAGTTTGGAAGGGAATTTAAGATTTGGGGGGCTTTAGGTCATGAATTGGGTGGGAAGTAGACTTACCAAGCTGTTTGAAGTTCTGTGTCCCCCAACGCTGGGCTAACAATGTGGAGACTGCTGTCCTGTTCACAGTTCTTAAAGCAAATTGTCCAAAATGATCTAGCCTTCCCCAATCCATGTTATCCTGTATATAAGTTTTTCTAACTCCTCCAAGATACCACTAGTGGAAAAAGAACACTTTAGGGTATTCGGACCCAGTAGGAGTAACTTTGTGCATAATCCTACCTATTGTACCTATTGAGTACTTATCTCCTGTCCTGAAGGGAGTTATCTTGAGCAGTTAAAAATGTAGTTTTCTTCCTGGCAAATAAATGAAGGATCACAAAGTACCAGAGACGTTCAAGGCTAACCTGATAATTTTCTTGAAACATGAGATGAATTTCATTCTCATTACAAGACACTGCCAATAAAGAACTGATAAAATTCATGTCAAGTAGCAGCTCACTGACCTGTGCAGCTGGAGTAGTAACTGATATAGTAGAAAAACCTTGAAGTAAGGTATGTCCTGTTCTAAATTTTTAATCTGATTTATTATCTAAATAAAGTTAAAATAATTGCCTCTAGATTTTTAGCATATCAAGAAGGGGAAAATGGAAGACCCAGGGAACTACAGACCAGTCAGTCTCACCTCTGTGCCTGGCAGAATCATGGAGCAGATTCTCCTGGAAAGCATGCTAGGGCACATAAAAAATGAGGTGGTTGGTGACAGCCAACATGGCTTCATTAAGGGCAAATCCTGCCTGACCGATATGGTGGCCTTCTATGATGGGGCTACAGAACTGATGGATGGAGCAAAGCAGTTGATGTCATCTACCTGGACTTGTGAAAAGTGTTTGACACTGTCCCGCACGACATCCTTGTCTCTAAATTGGAGAGACATCAATTTGGTGGATGGACGACTCAGTGGATAAGGAATTGGCTGGATGGCCGCATGCAGAGAGTTGCAGTTAACAGCTCAATGTCCAAGTGGAGACAGGTAACAAGTGGTGTCACTTGGGTTGGTGTTGGGACTGATCCTGTTTAACGTCTTTGTCAGAGACACAGACAATAGGATTGAGTCCGCCCTCAGCAAGTTTGCCAATGGTACTAACCTGTGTGGTTCAGTTGATACGCTGGAGGGAAGGGATGCTATCCAGAGGGATCTTGACATGCTTGTGAGGTGGGCCAATTCCAACCTCATGAAGTTCAACTATGCAAAGTGCAAGGTCCTACACCTGGGTGGGGGCAATTCCAGGCACAGCTACAGGTTGGGCAGAGGAGTGATTCAGAGCAGCCCTGCAGAGACAGACTTGATTTTGTTAGTTGATGAGAAAATGAACATGAGCCATCAGTGTGCGCTCGCAGCCCAGAAATCAAACCATATCCTGGGTTGCATCAAAAGGAGTGTGACCAGCAGATCGAATGAGGTGGTCCTGCCCCTCTACTCTGCTCTCGTGAGACCTCACTTGGAGTACTGTGTACAGTTCTGGTGGCCTCAACATAAGAAGGACATGCAGCTGTTGGAGCAAATCCAGAGGAGGGCCATGAGGATGATCGAGGGCTGGAGCACCTCCCATATGAAGAGAGGCTGAGTAAGTTGGGGCTTTTCAGCCTGGAGAAGAGAAGGCTGCGTGGAGACATCATAGCAGCCTTCCAGTGTCTGAAGGGGGCCTATAAGGATGCTGGGGAGGGACACTTCATTAGGGACTGTAGTAACAGGACAAGGGGCAATGGGTTAAAACTTAAACAGGGGAAGTTTAGATTGGATATAAGGAGGAAGTTATTTACTGTGAGGGTGGTGAGGCACTGGAATGGATTGCCCAGGGAGGTTTTGAATGCTCCATCCCTCGTGGTGTTCCAGGCCAGGTTGGACAGAGCCTTGGGTGATATGGTTTAGTGTGAGGTGTCAGTGCCCATGGCAGGGGGTTGAAACTAGATGATCTTAAGGTCCTTTCCAACCCAAACCATTCTGTAATTCTATAATTATGCTTTCTTTCGGCAATTTATTAGATGCTGATTCCCCAACTTGAAATCTGTTATTTATGGGTAAATCCACCTAGGGATCACAGCACACCTGAGGGAGTGCAGTGATTTGAAAATGCTTGTCTGATATTTTGACTTGGCTTTCTTCTAACTTAGCTTCATTAAATTAATTTGAAGAGAGCCTTTGTCATAGCAAAGATCTGGCAAGGGGGATTTATTGGATTCTCTACCCTTGGAATATGATTGTAATGCACTCTTCAAAGTGCCAAACTGGGGATAATGTGGCAGGAGACTAGGAGTTGTAGCATTCAGCAAATTGTAACAACTTCTGCTTCTCCTGGAGCATGTTACTTCAAGGTTAAAAAGGCTCAGGAGAAATGGTGCATCTTAGCTGTGTGAATTCAATGAAGGCTTGGGAATCTGACCTTCAGAGCTTGAGGTAAACATTATCCAGTCCGTGCTTGCCAAGTACAAGTGAGTATAAAGCAACCTCTCAAAGTTCTAGTTCCTATTAAAAAAAAAAAAAATTGAAGAAAAGTCTTAAATACTATTTTAAGCTCTATGTTGTTCACCTGTCCCTCTGCTCATGTGGCTGTTAAACTGATTTTTTCTTATACATCTGATATGGTTAGGACTAGGTGATAAGCCTCCACTCATAGTTAGGAAACATCTTTGGACATTACTTATATTGCACACATTTTGAGTATTTCATTATATACAGCCCTAAAGATTGATATGAAACTTCTCATGCACTAGTTTTCTGATTTCTGTTGCTCTTTACCATGGTGCAGTTTTTGGTGCTTACTCTTGGAACGTTTGGCTTAAGGGTGATATTTGGGGAGAAAATATTCATCAGCTGTATCAGCAAGTGCAAATAAACCTTGTCCTTAACTGTTAGCCTGCTGTCAGCATCACCTCTTGGGCTAAGTGCCAATAGAAATGTATCCTTCTGGGGTCCATCTGGCTTTGCAAAGCTCCAGAGTGTCAGACAGGAGGCAGCAGATCTGAAGGTGTGGGAGGGGAGTATGCTTTTTGTAATGAGCTGCGTGTGTAACCTAGGGTGTCTCTTCAGCTTCTGAATTTTGTAAATCCTCCTGGGTATTGACTGTTTACTACAGATGACTGTGGTTGAAGTACATGGAGGTGGAAATGTCATTCAACTTGGAAAGCACCTGTACTTCCACCTCTAATGGTGTTAAGTATGCTCATTAATTTTTTTAAACATAGTCAATATGGTCTTTCCCATCACTCAGAGCTAGATGAGACAAGCTTAAGTAAATATGGCAAACATCCTGCAAGATGTAAAGGAATGCAGCTGTGATCTTTGTAGCAGAATATACTGTTTTTCTTCATGTCCCATAAAGCTGAGGAAATGGGGGCATAGCTTAGGGGTTGAGGCTCTGATCATTTTAGTTGCCTGTCTCCAAATCTCTTCAGGCCTCACTCTGTCCTTTAAGGTGCACAGGCCAGAACTGAGCACAGTATTCAAGATGTTGGTATATCTGTTTCTTGTGAAGATAGTTGATGCCCTGTCTTACTATTGCTTTGTTTCCTGAGGATGCTTATTTTTGTTGGATTTTTTTGGCTGCTTTAGTGCATTGAGCTGGTGGAACACAGGGCAAACATTCGTGCTGCAGTCACAGTG